GGAAGCCGAATCGTAGCCTCCGAGAGGATGTTTCACCCATCGTCTTTGGGGGAGGTATCCTGAGATTGGGCGATGGACAGTATCGGGACACGTCGGAGGAAAAGGTGAAGGGCTTAGACAGCTTCAGAGGTGCGTACGACGATTGTAGGCGAAAGAGATGAGCCTTTTGGGAGATGTGATACGAGGCGATGGAATGCAAGGGTCAAGATGGCGCAAGGGCGATCCAGCTAGCATGCCAGTCGAGTGCAACGTCGAGTGGACGCACGCATTCACGCATGTATGCCACCTTTTGGTGCGCAATCGCTCAGCTGTCGCTGCTCTCCCCCCTTCCCGCTCGCCCGCGCAGTCGTGCACCTGGCCCTCTCATACGGCATCAACGCAATCGATACATCCGCCTACTACTATCCCTCCGAGATACTTCTTGGACGTATCCTACGTCTCCTCTCGCCCCTCCATCCTCGTTCCTCCTATCGCCTCCTGACAAAGTGTGGTCGCTACGGTCCCTCTTTGGAACATTTCGATTATTCCCCAAAAGGCGTCAGGGAAAGCGTTGGCAAGAGTTTGAAAAGGCTGAACACGAGTTATTTGGACCAGGTGTTGCTGCATGATGTGGAATTCGTGGCGGAAAAGGTCGGTGCAAGCCATGAGCAGGGTTTCGACGCCAGGGATGCGGCGAGATGTGAGGGTGAGTCGAGTCGACCCGAATGTGCGCGGTGGTGGGAGCTCGTCAGAGGAAAGGGATGGATGCGGAAAGAGCCGCAGTCGGCGAGATGAAATGAGGGAGCGGCATAGAAGCTGCACAGGCAAACAGGTACATTCATGACATTGATTGCGTATCCGCAAGCTGTGAATGGCGCGCGGCCCAAGCTCATCGTGACTCGTCCGCCAGCACGGGCAAGACTCGTCCCGAGCGCGCAGCCAATGCTTCGCTAAGCTGGCTATATATATAGGTCCCGATCGAGCGTCGCCATACATTCACCGCGGTGATTGCTCTGCACCTTTTCGCTGAAGCTTCATTTGCGCGGACGCGCCCTTTAATGCGCCTCTAACATCTCGTGCCACGCTTTCACGTCCACCATCAAGCCTCGAGTCTTGCCGTGCAGAAATCTTTGGGTCTCTCCGCTGCAAGTTGGGGCACAAGCTACGGCCCAGGCGATACGACAGTCCTGGGCGCACTCCGAGAGCTTTTCAACCTGAAAGACGAAGGGTTGATACTGAATGTGGGCATAAGCGGGTACCCTCTTCCCGTGCTGCTCAGGATAAGCAGATTGGCGTACATCGAGCTGGGCAGGCCGTTGGACTGCGTGCTTAGTTACAGTCAGGATTGTCTGCATTCGGACCTTTTGAGAGCTTGGAAGGGCCTCTTCGAGATGGACCAGAGGCAGTGTGAAGAGCAAGAAGAATGTTTTGCACACGAGGCGTCGTTGAAGGCAGGGGGGAAACGAGAGGAGAAGTCTGCTTTGGGCGCACATCAAGACCACCTACACCCAGAACAACGGCCCTCAGAATCCCCTGCCCGCTCGAGCAACACTTCTCGAGGCTCGCCCTTGCCCTCAGTAAGACCTGAAGCAGCAGACGATCCTGCAAATTCAGACTCGGATTGGCTTCATTCGGACGACGAACACATTTCTGCACCCTCCGCATTGCCATCGAATGGCCAGGCAATCTTGAATGGGAGAAGCGAAGCTGTGCAGTCGAACGGTGCAGTCTCGCGCTCAATCTCAAATGGGACTGGAAATGGATACGTGCGCGGTAACGGGGCAGGACCTTCGTCCAGGCAACCTCAAGCTAAGGCGGATCAGGCATTATCCATGGGCCAGAGAGATCGCGATCGTATCGGGGCCAAATTTTATGATGTGGGTTCAGCGCGAGGGTCACAGTTAAAGTCAATCAGCGATACGAAGGGAGCAACTTGCTGAGTTCTCTACTTCCTCACCGACTCCCCATCTGCTCCATGTTCACTGATCCGGTGCCTGGGCGAGCAGGCGGGATACAGAGAAGGTATCACGGCGGGAAAAGAGAGCGCCATTCAATCCGGCTTTGATGAGGCTTTCGAGCAGGTTGGAGCGCCTGTTGGTCGAAGGGTGGGCAGACTTAGGGGTCGAACAGCCACTCTGCTTCAATTCTTGTCCAACCTATCCGCGGAAGATCAAAGGATGTCGTCGAACGCGCCATCGTCGAAAGAGAGGTCTGCTCAGACACAGCAGCTTCAGACAAGGCTGAGAGTGCTCATCTCCGAACTTTCGAGGCTCAAGTTGGCACAACTCGCCGAACCGGACTATGAAGCGCTGGAGCACGAAGGCGAACATGCGCTTGGAGATGGAGAGCATCAAGCTTCAACCGTCGTGCGCGAGACACCATCAGAACGCAAAGTCAGGGAGAATATTCTCATCGAGTTGGAAGACCGGGCAGACGACCTCAATCAGCAAGTGCTGAGCTTGGCTCAAGGCGACGCTTCCATTGTCGATGACGCATCGCGCACGTCACTTGCGGAACGCAACGGAAAGTGGACCCCGCCCTTGTTGCTCAATGGAAGTCCATTCTCGATGGGATTGCTCACGGAAGGTGCGGTGCCCGATTGGCATCCAGCCTCGCAAGAGCTGAAAGATGCATGTCTGCGAGCAGCCCAGACTCTGCGTTCGGCCTCTAACGCACCTCGTGACGCAGCGTTAAGCGGAAGAGAAATCGTCCGAGGCGTTCATGATGTCAATGCGCCGGACTTGGCACAAACTGCACTCTTCTATGGTTTGAGGAGCGCGGCTGACTGGGCCTCAGGAGACAGAGCGCTGCAAGTGCGTGCGAAAGAACGCAGCGGGCCGGAAAGACATCATGGCACGGGCTTCCCAACGCTTGTGGGCATGGCGACGTGCGATCATGTACATGCGGCCATCCAGACCATGCGCGTTCTGATGGCTCGCACGTCTGCGCAGAATTCCTGCGAAACAAGCGCTACGAACGGAGCATCGAATGGAGAGCGACAGTCTGGAGCTTTGCAAGATGTAGCTGAAGGATCAAAGAGCACAGAGAGGAGGAGACTGCTGGAGCAGTATGATGTCTTGGAGGCGGCGGAGAAGAAGGTCAAAGACATGGTGAGGGAGAGCGGATATGCAGATTGGAGTTGGGCTAGCGGATGAATGACGCGAATGGGGTGGAAAATTCGACGGAGAGGGGTGCGGATTGCACGGAGTCAAGCTGCGCAAGGGGAAGTCGACGAAGCATTGCACGGTCGCAAAAGGTGATGCTAGCGTGTTGTCCATGTTGAATGGTGTCTTCACAACGAGCGGCATCCACATTCACGCACGCGTGATGCAAGAGTGTGAAAAGGGCAAGACTTCATATCGAGCCTAAGAAGATGCACCTAGGGGAGACTTTTGTCAGGATCAGCTGTCTTCTGTTCGGATTCAGCGCCCCTCTCATAGCTGGAAAACAATGAAGTGATACAAACATCGTGAGCAATGGTCCACCTTCTCTTTGTTGATCGTGCTCTTTTGACTCACGCTACGCAGTCCTAGCCTAAGCCTCGTTGGCATCATTGCCCGGCCCGGGCGGGTCACACGGCACGAGTTCCGACCGCTGGGGGGTAACACTTCTCGGGGTCTTCACATATAGGCTCGAGCCGCTTCTCTAGCCCAATGTGGTCCTTGTTGGCACGGTCGTTGATCTTGTCTGGGCCGCACTCATCGGGGTTGAGGCATATCGGTGTCGCTTGCTTTCCCTCGTCCCGCTTCTCTAATCCGACGTAGCCCTCGTTGGCACGCTTTTTGTGGGACGGAGGGCCTTCACACTCCTCAGGGTCCTCACAGAAACCTCCTTGAAGCCGCTTCTCTAGCGCGGTGTAGCCCTTGTTGGCACGGCTCTTGACCGCTGGGGGGTAGCACAGGTCAGGGTCTTGACATATAGGCTCAAGCCGCTTCTCTAGCCCAATGTAGCCCCCACTGGCACGATTCTTGAGCTCGGGTGGGTCTTCTTCACATCCCTCGGGATCCAGGCATGGACTTCCGTAGTATCGCTTCTCTAGCCCGGTTCCGGGACTATTGGCACGATTTTTGAGCTCGGGTGGGTCTTCTTCACATCCCTCGGGATCCAGACATATACTTCCGTAGTTTCGCTTCTCTAGCCTAGTGTAAGAATTGTCGACCACGGGTGGCACGCAAGCAGGCGGTACACATTCGCCACCCGATTCGAGCCTTTTCTCTAACCCGGTGTAGGGATTGTTGATCACGGGTGGGACCCATATGGGCGGCATGAACCTAGCTTTCTTCTCTTGCCGTTTCTCCAGCCCGATCCCGTCCGATTCGGCAGAGATGGGCGACACTTGCAGCGGAAGGCGTTTACCCAGATCGTGACCATCATCTCTGGGTTTCTCCTCTCTTTTCGCGGTGCGGCCTGAGAGGTCGCTTGGAATGACTTGCAGAGATCGGCGTGGAGGCGGATGGATAGGAAGGTCTTTTTTAGGAGGGACCTTTCCATTGTTGCGATCTGGAACGTCGTTCGCAACGACCCGTACGGATCGACGGCTGGGCAAAGGGCTGACTGAACCCTTCTGGAGATCTAAGACGGAAGCTCTTCCACCTGAATCACTAAAAAAGTCAGCAATGACTCTTCATGAGATCCAACTGCGTTCAGAGTCGCAAACTCACCAAGCCAGTCGGCGGGACGTCCTTTGACGCCTGCACAAAGGATGGCAAGAGCCAGCGATATAGCGATTACAAGCCTAGCGCTTTGCATGTTGGCAGTGCGGATGTTGTCTTAGTAAGCAGTGCTACGAGGTGAGCCGTTTCTGGGGGTGACAAGGTAGAGGGAATAGAAGAGCGAAAGGCCTCTTATTAAAGCTCACGACTGGCCTTTTCAACAGAGCCAGATGGATTCTGTCTGCCTTGGATGCCAGGCAGCACCTCCTTCCACGTCGACGAAACGACGAGCTTGCGTGGAATAAACGTCAGAAAAACCACACTTCTGACGCATTTAGGATCATAAATGAGGTCAATCACAAGACGCGAAGGCATATCTATTGGCACCAAGTTAGTGCACAAACTGCGCTCGTTCGCTCCGCGGAGCAAATATCAACGAGGAGGTCCTCTGTGCATGTTCCTCGGCTTGCACTCACCGGAACCCATCAACCAGATGTGTGCTTCGAAAGGTTCACTCGGGACCATGGTACGAACGATTGCAAGTTAGAAAGGTATCTTCGTTGGCTCCAGATAGCTGCACGATCTGCTCTCATTCGGCGACGCATCAATGATCACTGACAAGGTGCTCTCTGAACGGTCTTTGCGTGTGACGGAGCCAGCTCAACCCATGGCACCGCGCTTGGGCCGCTTCGCCGCTTCCACCGCAAATTCAATCTACGACACCGCGACCTGCTAGAGGCGGACGATTCGATTACGTCCAATAAAATCTTTGGTCTCCCTGCTCTCGAGCACGCCATTCGCTTCAGGACTTGTTCAGGTGACTGAATTTGGCGTGTGCCACACGGGTTGAGAGTAGCCCGTCAGCGGTAGAGCAGCAAATTTGACTAGCGAAGCTATTTGGGTGCCTCTAGATTTCGGATCAAGCTTCCGTGAAGTGATGCAGCTTCACAATGCAACGATATGGCTTACCCAATCTCAGGTTTTTGGCCACGACCATCATCGGCAAGGACTTGGACCGCATGCCGACTCTTTTGAATTGCGCTCAGACCATTGCATTGTACCCGCATAGTCCGCACTGCCCAGCAAAGAGCGTATGGAATAATCGATTAGTGGCGCAATCTCGCTGCAGCCTACTTGCGTCCAGGTCATGACTAATGCGCAATGATGAAGGTACTTGACATTGTCCTCTCGATCCTCAAGGCAGTCCATGGCGATCATTGGTCATGGACTTCTTCCGAGCGATCACCTCGCCTGAGGTGGTCTCAAAGAGACACAGGTCGGCGGAATGTTGTCCAAGCTCTCATGCTGGCAAGCGCGC